TACAATTGCACCCAAAACCATAAGATACCTAGGAATAAATCTAACCAAAGAGGCAAAGGATCTGTACTCAGAAAACTATAAAATACTCATGAAAGAAATTGAAGAAGACACAAAGAAATGGAAAAACGTTCCATGCTCATGGATTGGAAGAACAAACATCGTGAAGATGTCAATGCTACCCAGAGCAATCTACACATTGAATGCAATCCCCATCAAAATACCATCCACTTTTTTCAAAGAAATGGAACAAATAATCCTAAAATTTGTATGGAACCAGAAGAGACCCCGAATAGCCAGAGGAATGTTGAAAAAGAAAAGAAAAGCAAAGCTGGCGGCATCAGAATTCCGGGCTTCCAGCTCTATTACAAAGCTGTCATCATCAAGACAGTATGGTACTGGCACAAAAACAGACACATAGATCAATGGAACAGAATCGAGAGCCCAGAAATGGCCCCTCAACTCTATGGTCAACTCATCTTCAACAAAGCAGGAAAGAATGTCCAATTGAAAAAAGACAGTCTCTTCAACAAATGGGAAAATTGTTGGGAAAATTGGACACCCATATGCGGAAGAATAAAACTGGACCATTTCCTTACACCACACACAAAGATAGACTCAAAATGGTTGAAAGACCTAAATGTGAGACAGGAGTCCATCAAAATCCTAAAGGAGAACACAGGCAGCAACCTCTTTGACCTCAGCCGCAGCAACTTCTTCCTAGAAACAATGCCAAAGGCAAGGGAAGCAAGGACAAAAATGAAGTATTGGGATTTCATCAAGATAAAAAGCTTTGCACAGCAAAAGAAAACAGTCAACAAAACCAAAAGACAACTGACAGAATGGGAGAAGATATTTGCAAATAACATCAGATAAAGGGCTAGTATCCAAAATCTATAAAGAACTTATCAAACTCAACACCCAAAGAACAAATGATCCAATCAAGAAATGGGCAGAAGACATGAACAGACATTTTTCCAAAAAAGACATCCAAATGGCCAACAGACACATGAAAAAGTGCTCAACATCGCTCGGCATCAGGGAAATCCAAATCAAAATCTCAATGAGATACCACCTCACACCAGTCAGAATGGCTAAAATTAACAAGTCAGGAAATGACAGACGTTGGGGATGCGGAGAAAGGGGAACCCTCCTACACTGCTGGTGGGAATGCAAGCTGGTGCAGCCACTCTAGAAAACAGTATGGAGGTTCCTCAAAACGTTGAAAATAGAGCTACCATATGATCCAGCAATTGCAGTACTGGGTATTTACCACAAAGATACAAATGTAGGGATCGGAAGGGGTACATGCACCCCGATGTTTATAGCACCAATATCCACAATAGCCAAACTGTGGAAAGAGCCAAGATGTCCAGACAGGTGAATGGATAAAGAAGATGTGGTGTGTACACACACACACACACACACGCACACACACACACACACACACACACACAATGGAATATTATGCAGCCATCAAAAGGAATGAGATCTTGCCATTTGCAACGAAGTGGATAGAACTGGAGGGTGTTATGCTGAGTGAAATAAGTCAATCAGAGAAAGATAGGTATCATATGACCTCACTGATACGAGGAATTCTTAATCTCAGGAAACAAACTGAGGGTTGCTGGAGTGGGGTTGGGATGGGATGGATGGGGTGGCTGGGTGACAGACATTGGGGAGGGTATGTGCTATGGTGAGCGCTGTGAATTGTGCAAGACTGTAGAATCACAGATATGTACCTCTGAAACAAATAATGCAATATATGTTAAAGAAAAAAAAAAGAAGAAGAAGATAGGCGGGGAAGATTGAAGGGGGGGGAATCGGAGGGGGAGAGCAACCATGAGAGACGACGAACTCTGAAAAACAAACTGAGGGTTCTAGAGGGTAGGCGGCTGGGGGGATGGGTTAGCCTGGTGATGGGTATTAAAGAGGGCACGTTCTGCGTGGAGCACTGGGTGTTACACACAAACTATGAATCATGGAATACTACATCAAAAACTAATGATGTAAGGTATGGTGATTAACATAACAATAAAAAACTTAAAGAAAAAAATCTTCAACAAAATATTAGCAAATAGATTCCAACAATGCATAAAAAGAATTACACACCATGACGAATTGGGATTTATGCCAACTATACAAGGGTGGTTCACCATCCAAAAATCAACATAACCCATCTCATCAGAAGTCTAAACAAAAAAACCTACTTAGAAAACTCACATGATCATATCAAAAGATATAAATTTAAAAAAAGCATGGCAAAATCCAATACTTGTTCATGATTAAAAACTCAGTAAGCTAGCATTCTCATCTTGATAAAGAATACCTACAAAAACCCTTTAGCAAAGGACACACTTAATGATGATAAACTTGAAGCTTTCCCACTAAGATCAAGAACAACGCAAGGATGTGCTCTCTTACCACTGCCTTTCAACATCTTACTCGAAGTACTAGCTAATGCAATAAGACAAGAAAAGCAAATAAAAGGTACATAGACTGGGAAGGAAGAAGACTGTCTTTATTCACAGATACGATCATCATTCCTATAGAAAATCCAAAAGAATCAACAAAAAAATCCCCAAATAATTATAGAAAGGTTGCAGGATACATGGTAAATTTACAAAAGCAAATCGCTTTCCAACACACCAGCAATGAACAGTGGAATTTTAAATAGAAAACACAATACTACTTCCATTAACACACAAAAAAGAAATATATAAATCTAACAAAATATGTGCAAGATCTAAATGAGGAAAACTATAAAACTGTGATGAAAGAAATCAAAATACAAATAAATGGAGAGATGTTCCATGTTCATGGATATGAACATTCAATATTGTTAAGATGTCAGTTCTTCTCAATTTGATCTACAGATTCGAAATCCCAGCAAGTTGTTTTATGGATACCAACAAACTGATTCTAAGGTTTATATGGAAAAGTAAAAGATTAGTGGTTGCCAGCGGTTAGGGAAGAGGGAAGGATGAACAGGCAGAGCACAGATTTTTAGGGCAGTGAAACTGCTCTGTATGATACTATCATGATGGATACACATCATTATGCATTTGTCCAAATCTACAGACTGTACAACACCAAGAGTGATTCCTAATGTAAGCCATGAACTCTAGGTCATAATGATGTGTTAGTATAGGTTTATTAACTATACCACTGTGGTGTGGGATGTTGATAGTGGGGAGGTTTTTTACATGCGTGAGGATAGGGAATAAATGGGAACTCTCTGTACCTTCTGTTCAATTTTGTTGTCAACCTAAAACTGCTCTAAAAAAATAAAGTTTATGAACTGAAAAAAATAAATGATATAAATGGGTAAGTAATAAAAAGAACTTTAGATGACTAATAGAGATACAGAAACATACTTAACTTTATAAACAAAAATGAAATACTGTATTTTTTCACTCAAAGAAGTGAACACTAAAAACTGACAATATTCAAGTATTAGTGATGATTTGGGACAATGGGTTTTCATGTTGCTGGTTGTAATGAAATTGGTGCAGCAGTCCCCCCTTATCCACGATTTCATTTTCCCTGGTTTCAGTTTAATTGTGGTCTGGAAGCAGATGATCCTTCTGATGTATCATCAGAAGGTCAGCCTAATGCTGTGTCACAGTGCCTACATCATTCACCTCACTTCATCTCATCACGTTAGCATTTTATCATCTCACATCATTACAAGAAAAAGAACAAAAGTACAAAAGGATATTTGATAGACCACATTCTCATGACTTTTATTACAGTATACTGTTATAATTGATCTATTTTATCATTTATTATTGTTAATCTCTTACTGTGCCTGATTGATAAATTAAACTTTATCATAGGTATGTATATATGTATAGGAAAAAAGCAGTACATATAGGGGTACTATCTGTAGTTTCAGTCATCTACTGGGGGTCTTGGAACATATCCTTCACAGATAAGTGGGGGACTACTATATAACTACTTGAGAAATTCCTACATACAAATACAAAACTGCAAAAAGAAAAATACCCAAAGAGTAATGGCAGTAACATACTGTTTATGGATATGTAAACACACAGATACGGAGAAACGCATGTACATATGTATGTGTTGATGTAGTTTTAAAAGTACGAGAAGGATACACACTAACTTAGGACAGTGGTTGCTTTGTGATGGGAAATTATAAGAATGTGACTCAAGAACTTTACCTCTATTATTGTGACTTAAAAAAAGTCTTGCAAAATGGTAAAATGTCAGTTATTAATTCTAAGATAACAGGAATTAGGTAATTTTATATAATTTCTTATACTTTTCTGTATTTTTTTCCTAAAAATTCCATTAAGCTTAAAAAACACTGTAATTTCAGTCATTAGATCAAAACAGTAATGTCCTACATCCCTCCTAAATCTATGATATAACAGAATTATGTACTAGTGATAATGACAATAGTTCACATTTTCTCTGATGGTTGAATACTTCCTATCATATGACATAACTGGGTCAGCCAAAAGTAATCCACATTTCATCTCAGAAAGCATAAACAGAGTTACTACAAGAGTGTTCAAGTTGCAGACTGCTTAAGGAAGACAACATTCATGGTCATTTCCTTAGGAGCTGTGTCAGGCCTTCAGTGAAGGAAGTGACACAATGTGCCTGAATCACTAAAATCAAATAGTGACTTATGTGAAGGAAACATTGCAAAACCTACATCCTGAAAATGCCTTTTTTCTTTTCCTTCCCAAGACATAAAAATTAAGTCATCAGAACGAAGTATTACATAATACATACCTGATACACTTCTAGTAAGGAAAGAATCTATATTAGGTTCCTCCTGTTCCATCTTACCTCAGTATTTCTTTATCTTAAAGTAATAAAAAAAACTTTCAAGAATAAAGTGAAAAACTGACATACACATACAAGCATACATAGCTTGCCCCAACCTACTCTTTGAAATAAGCTGTTAATCATCAGTCATATATACGTCACAAAACTAACACTTTCATAGGGAAGAACTTAATACTTACTAAAAGTCTTACAGATGTCAGAAACAGCTTTGAAGACTCTATCAGAGAAATTCACTTTCACCTTCACATACTTCATGTTGGGAAGCTGCAGGCGGAGCAGTTTGTGCTGGGGGGTGAACTGAAGCTTAGCATCTGCCTGAATGCCGTACTTATCCAAGGTCCAATGTGTTTTAAGAAGCCAAGTTCTCTTCTTTTCCCACCAGAGAGCATGGTCAGACCAATCCTTTTTTACATCTATAAAAAAAAAAAAAGCAATAAACAAAACACTTAACAATCCAAGATTACCTTGAGAGAAATTATAAGAAGAAAACTAAATTGGGCACTTAATACAAGTAACTAAATACTAAGTGTCTTTTATGTGATAGGTACAAAAGAGATCCTTAAGAGCTGAGAAAACACTCTGTGCCCTTGAAAGCCCATACACAAGGTAGCTGAGGCAGAATACACACTGTATGCTCAACATCGCCTGGCATCAGGGAAATCCAAATCAAAACCTCAATGAGATACCACCTCACACCAGTCAGAATGGCTAGAATTAACAAGTCAGGAAATGACAGATGTTGGCGGGGATGCGGAGAAAGGGGAACCCTCCTACACTGTTTGGTGGGAATGCAAGCTGGTGCAACCACTCTGGAAAACAGTATGGAGGTGCCTCAAACAGTTGAAAACAGAGCTACCATACGATCTAGCAATTGCACTACTGGGTATTTACCCCAAAGATACAAATGTAGGGATCTGAAGGGGTATGTGCACCCCGATGTTTATAGCAGCAATGTCCACAATAGCCAAACTGTCGAAAGAGCCAAGATGTCCATCGACAGGTGAATGGATAAAGAAGATGTGGTATATATACACAACGGAATATTATGCAGCCATCAAAAGGAATGAGATCTTGCCATTTGCAACAACGCGGATGGAACTGGAGGGTGTTATGCTGAGTGAAATAAATCAACCAGAGAAAGATATGTATCATATGACCTCACTGGTATGAGGAATTCTTAATCTCAGGAAACAAACTGAGGGTTGCTGGAGTGGTGGGAGGGTGGGAGGGTGGGAGGGATGGGGTGGCTGGGTGATAGACACTGGGGAGGGTATGTGCTACGGCGAGTGCTGTGAATTGTGCAAGACTGTTGAATCACAGTTCTGTACCTCTGAAACAAATAATGCAATATATGTTAAGAAAAAAAAAAGAAGAAGATAGCAGGAGGGAAAGAATGAAGGGGGGGAAATCGGAGGGGGAGAGCAACCATGAGAGATGATGGACTCTGAAAAACAAACTGAGGGTTCTAGAGGGGAGGGGGGTAGGGGGATGGGTTAGCCTGGTGATGGGTATTAAAGAGGGCACGTTCTGTGTGGAGCACTGGGTGTTTTACACAAACAATGAATCATGGAACACTACATCCAAAACTAATGATGTATGGTGATTAACATAAAAAAATTTAAAAAAAGAATACACACTGTAACTAATAATGCTTACATCACGTACAATATAGGACACAGGGATGAAGAGGGACTACACTGTAGTCACTCAGAGAACAAAGAGAACCCTGGGGACTGGACATGGAAAAATTAATGATGAAGTGGAGTTGGTGGGTTCTAAGCCCAGCCTTGAGGAAAGGACAATATTCTGATAAAGCCAGTGAGAAGGCTGAGGTTTGTTTACGAGACTGCAGATGCGTGCTGAGGTATGTAAGGAGTAGTGAAAAGTAAGACAGGGAATCCAAGTGAACCAAAACCAATATCCTAGGTGAAGAGCATGGAAAAAAATATCCATGAGGAAGAGAAAACAAAAAAACAAAAACACCACATCCCAACTATATGTAAGCTGTCCCAAATACATTTCGAGAAAAGTAACCCAACTTTTTCCTCAACATATTTTGGTACAAGTATAACAGAAAACATTAATTTCTGTTAAACTATTTAAAAGCCTTATGCAATTAAATTAGATGAAACCAAATAAAAGAATAAACACAAGATTTGGCTTCTTTCAATAAAGCAGGTCATAACAATAAACTTGCAAAATAAAATCCAACTTCAGCTAGTTTTTAAAGTAGCAATAAAAGTATAGACTTTTTAGGGCACCTGGGTGGCTCAGGTGGTTAAGCGACTGCCTTTGGCTCAGGTCATGATCCTGGAGTCCCACCCAGGATGGAGTCCCGCATCAGGCTCCCTGCTCAGCAGGGTGTAATGCTTCTCCCTCTGACCCTCCCCACTCTCTTTCTCTCTCAAAATAAATAAAATCTGAAAAAAAAAGTAACCTTTTTAGATAATTATGCATTAAACTAAGAACCAAAAAAGGGGGACATGATATTTCAAAAAAAGAATAGGCAGGGCAGCCAGGTGGCTCAATTGGTTGAGTGACCAATTCTCGGTTTCTACTCAGGTCATGATCTCAGGGTCCTGGGATTGAGCCCAGAGTGGGACTCTGAGCCTTAGTTCTGAGTCTGCTCCAGGTTTCTCTCTCCCTCTGCCCCTCCTCCCCACTCTCCTCTGCACATACTCTCTCAAATGAAGTAAGTCTTTAAAACAAAAACAAAAAAAGAACAGCCAAACAAAGCCTTCTGGGGAAGGAAAAAAAAAAACATGGAAAATAGCATTCTTGCAAATAAAAACAAAAACTATTATCATGATTCTGATAAAAAACTCATTTTAATACAGATTTAGAAAGCGTTGGTCAACTTTAAAAAAAATGAGCTTAAAAGCATATACTAATACGGAATTTTTTTAAACATAATTTGTATACCTGAAAGCTTCAAATAGTAAAAAATGAAATTTTCACACTGATTATGTGCCTAGAAACACCTTCTCTAATGATGAAACTTACAACACACGACTGAACTTCTCATTGTGGAAGAAACACATCACAAGTGGAAAAACACTTTCAATTTCCCAGACGTTAAAAAAAAATTAAGAAGTGTTTTTTTTTTTTTTTAAGATTTTATTTATCTGAGATGGAGCACAAGCAGAGGGAGCTACAGGCAGAGGGAGAAGCAGGCTCCCCGCCGAGCAAGGAACCCGATGAGGGACTCGATCCCAAGACCCTGGGATCATGACCTGAGCCAAAGGCAGACACTTAACTGACCGAGCCACCCAGGGGTCCCAAATCAGTAAGTGCTTTATTAATGGGAGAACTGTAGTTACTTGTGATTACACTGCCATTTTGAAATTTTAATATTTGTTTTGGGAAAGCCCAGTCAATCATGTTATTTGAAGTCTGGTGTAGAAATATATATAACTCCTTTTTCATAACTACTCACTTAATTGTGCGAACAATGTATATAGTACCCTGCATCTTAAATTACTTTCCAGAACAGAATTTGTCAATTAACTTTTAAACATAGAAAATCTGATCTAGCTCACAGAAAACCAAGGTTGGGACCTTTTTATTTATTGAGGTAAATGATCACACATGTTATATAGGTGATTTCCTTTTCTCTTCATGAATAGAGAATGCAAGACAGAAAAACATAACCTACAAAGAATAAACCAATTTGAGTAAGGCTGAGCTGAACTGAATTAATGGTAGGTAGGCATACAATACTTTCTTCCCCATACCTCAGTCCATTTACTCTGCTGTAGTCTGGTACCAATGTCAGCCATTAAGGAAGCCATATCTCCCCACTGGGGGAGAAGGGAGGAAAAAGCTATATACTACTACCACCACCACCACCACCACCACCACCACCACCACCACCACTAAAAGTCTGTAAACACTAGGTTTGCCTTTGGGTTCCCCCAAAAGGCAAACCTGAAATAAGAACTTGAGGGGAAGCACACTTGAGGGGATTAGGAATAGTGAGATGGATAGAGAAAAGTCTATTAAGGGTTCACTGACTGCTGTGGATAACTGGAGTTCAATCCTGCTAAAGACCCCCTGAGGAATTATGTAGAACATGCCTAAGACTTGTCCCACCTAGGGAAAGAGAAGCTGGGGTATCTATCCACTTCCTTGGTTAAAGGTTGCTCCCCAAGGCCACTAAATTCCTACTACTTTCTGGATGTCATGCATGTAGCTGACCACCCTTCACTCAGGCAGAGCAAACTCACAAAGTCCCAAATATTTGTATCAGGACTTTTAGAGAAAAATCTTGTGGGCCCTTGACGAATGAAAATCTCAACTTCCCATCAGTTAGACTTCAAACTCTAACCTCAGAAACAGGTACCTCCCCTGATCTTCCTCTTTAAAAATCTGACCCTCCCCATCAATTCCACCTCCCTTTCTCACAACAAAGGAGCAGCCCACCTGCATCCAGCAAGAATAAACAGGGGAGTGTTATGTTTCAAAATCATCACCGATAATTCTGAAGAACTGCAGGGGCTCAGGTGTGCAAACTGAGAGTCAAATTTAGAGACATAAGTTAATGTGGGAGTGGAAATGATGAAAGTCTGAGTTGCAATGGCTAGGCAGTGAGAAAGCAGTAATAAGGAATACAGAGACATTTTCCTGAGTATTTTGTTATAGCAGGGAGCACAATAATGGATGGCAGATGGACAGAAAGGGGAGGACAAGTCCAAGGAGTATTTTTAGTTCTATTTTCAAGAAGAGAAAAGTTATTACAATATCATTTTTTAAAGAATTCCATCTTTTTAAAAAAGATTTATTTGAGAGAGAGAGAGCATGAGGGAGGGCGAGGCAGAGTGGAAGAGAGAGGGGAAGCAGACTACCCACTGAGTGGGGAGCCCTATGGAGGGCTCGATCCCAGAAACCTCAGCCAAGGGCGCCTGAGTGGCTCAGTTGGTTAAGCGACTGCCTTCGGCTCAGGTCATGATCCTGGAGTCCCAGGATCGAGTCCCACATCGGGCTCCCTGCTCATCAGGGAGTCGGCTTCTCCCTCTGACCCTATCCCCTCTCATGTGCTCTCTCTCTCTCATTCTCTCTCAAATAATTAAAATCTTAAAAAAAAAATACTTAACAAATTTTGTGTGTATATGTGTGAAGCAGTATATCTTAATGCAATAACTCTTGAAAGTACTTAAGTTATCTAGTACGCTACAGTGCAACTGTAACTGGTATAAACACAATGTGCACAGGAGTAGATTTCCGATATCAACATATGTATTTACATATTCCTCCAATTGAAGACTAATAGAAGCGTAAAAACTTTGATTTTAAAAATAAAATGGTCGTCTATAAAATAACTATGAATAGGGGCGCCTGGGTGGCTCAGTCGTTAAGCGTCTGCCTTCGGCTCAGGTCATGATCCCAGGGTCCTGGGATCGAACCCCACATCGGG